ATATTGTGCAATTAAATCAAACCATTGTGTATTTAACTCAAATTTTGCTATGATAGGTTCCATTCTTAACTACATCCTTAAACCGGGTGCTCTTGACCTGGGGACTACCTGTGCAGCACACGACTGTAAAAAATATTAGTATATTATTCATTTAGACTGTAGTGAGGTTCAAGAGGTCTTGTCAAAATGTCATGAACACTGAAGATGCATGTTTACATTTCAAGAATATTCTGCGAGGGAGAGAAGTTCTGTGGCAGAAATTCTTATACAGAAAAAGATCTCTGTACAAAGGAGGCTTGAAAAATAGTGAGTTATGCCAATGGCCAATTACAACTCTTCTGTTCTTTTGGGTTCTCATCTTCATATATCACTAGCCCTGCACAAACATAACACATAAATCAGAAGCATTACATTATCACTTAAAAGCAGGGATGAGTAGCTGAGAACCTGTGATACACTCTCTGGCAGGGTGCGGTGGGACCTTGCTCTTCACTTGATCTGTTTGAATTTCACTAGGAATAAAACCAGCTTGGTCTAGTGATTAAGGTGCTGGACTAGGAATGGGGAAACTTTCGTTCTAAATCTCGCCTTAGGCATGGAAGGCAGCTGGGCAACTTTGGGACGGTCACTCCCTCTAAGCCCTCAGAAGAAGGCAATGGCAACCCACTTCTGAAACTGCTGTCTAGAAAACTGCATGGACTTGTCTAGGTAAAGACTCTAAGGCAAAAAAAAAAAAAAAAGAGCGGTGGAGTAAAGAAGATGATTCAGATGTTTCCTGTTCCTTCTAATGAAAAGATTAAAAATCAATGCATATCCCATAGCCCATGGGAACAAAACACAGCAATCTGTGTGTGGGAGACGATGTATATGCACAAAAGTAATATATCCATGTGCATATGTGCAACTGCATGCAACCATACATACATTTGTGTGCGGCTCAAGGTGTAGCAGCCTGTGGGTACCCTCAGGAATTACCAAGTGATTGGAGTTTTGGAACATTTCTCTCAGCCTGGCTAAACTTGGTGCTCTTTCTTTATGCCCTCCTCTGCTTAGCCACCAAAAGTTTTGGGAAAGAGAAAGTCTGATGTTGTTTGGTGGCCTACGAAATATCAGCATCCAACCTTTTGGCAAGCAGTCGAATCAAAGTTTTTTTTGTTTTCTCTTGGAAAGAGAAGTTTCTTTCCAGATTTAACTGCTTCGGCATTCTTTTGTTTTTAGCTGTCCTGGGACTGGAGGGAAAGTCTCTGGAATGTTTCCCTGTTCCAGATTCATGCTGAATCAAATCACTGAAAATGTAGACATCGTAAAGAAATAGCTTTTTGGAATAGAAAAACATATTCTAGGCCCTAGTTAAAATGCAAGTATCTTTTGAAAATGCTTGCAATCACTTTGAATGGCACTCTCAATAGAAGAGTCAATAGAAATTTATAGGGAATAGACAAACACATTCATATGTTTTTCTTCCAGAAGTTGACTTATGCACATGCCAAGACAAATACAGTTTTGGCTACATTAATACAGACTGGAGAGCCACTACTCATGTTTCTTTCTCAAGCTATGCCTTTCCTGACAAAATTGTTAACCCATATGTCTAAAAAGTAATATACAAAAAGCTGAAAAAGTAATAATCAAAGTAGCAGCCCTACTACCAGATGACACTAATATAGCACAATGATTCAGAGACCCAGCTATGAATCAGAGCATCCTAAGTTAGAAACCTCTCTCTGCCATTTTTCTTAGCCCCCCTTTTCACTTTAAAGCAGCTGTGCCTTTTTCTGGGATCAGGGCACTCCAAATCAAGTATCAAGCACTGCACAGATGTACAACAGAGTTTGCATGCAGGGTGGAAGAAAAACTCGGCACAGGGTCAGTTGTGCTAGTATGCAAAAATCCACTCGGAATGCAATACAGCCTGTGGCAGGGCTGCAAGAACATGAATAAAGAACATTGTTGGGGGGCATAACTTGGAGCATTTGTGTGGTCTGCATGGGGGAAAGAGTCTATTTGCATGGAGGAGGGTAGGAAGAATCTGTGCATGGGATATGAAAACATGGCACAGGGCCAGGTTACTTGTGGGACTGCCTCTCCCTGAGGGTATCTGCCCATCCTACTAGGTTAGGTAGGGTGGGTGTGCTCCAGGTCCCCTCCCTTAAATGTTGCTATGTGAAGGGACCTCGGAAGCGTGCCTTCTCGGTGGCCACCCCAGTCCTTTGAAACAGCCTCCCACCAGAGATCAGAGGGACCCCTACCCTTTTAGCCTTCTGGAGGGCTGTGAAGACCTGGCTCTTCCCCCAGGCATTGGGCTAGGGTGGGGGGTTGAGCTGTGAGGATGTTTGGTCTGGTGCCTGGGGGGAAGGGTATGTTTTAAACTATGTTTCATGGATTGTTGTGAGCCGCCTAGAGTCATTGTATGAGATAGGCAATCATATAAGTCCTGTAAATAAATAAAAGTCCGGAAGAGACAGAATATTGGGATGGAGAAAAGAAAGCATTGAGGAATGCTTCCTTAATGCATGCTTTTTAATATCACTCTGCTCATTTTAAGCTCTTCAGTATGAAACTTTCAGGAACATCTCTCTCAAACAAGTCCGAGTGTCAGAACCTTCTAATGCAAACTTTTGATTAGTGGAAAGCAAATACTAGCAGACTCTCTTCAGTGCTGCTGTCCACAGAGCAAATCCATTTTGATGGATTTTGCAAACTTGCTCCCCATACTGATGCATGGTAGTTTTATTTTACATTCTAAGTTAAAACACTCCAGAATGTTGTAACTATTGTTACTCTTGCTGCTGATGCATGTGTGCTTTTTAATTCATTTGAATTCTATCATTTATTCTAAATTTTCAAAAAATTAACACAATTTTTGTACTTAAAGGGAGAAGTTGGATAGGCAAAGGCACAGAAAAAGAGTCACTTCCTCTAAGCAAGCAAATGCAAACAGGCCTCTTATATATAAGTTATACATTTATCCAATGAATTAAACTGTTCTTCAACACTGAACCTTTTTCATAATCTAATATTTTTCTTCTCTATTAAAGACCAGCAAAGGTTTTAGAGAAGCATATCAGTAAATAGAAATACAAATCTGGAGCAATCCACTTCTGTAATGCAAAAGGATAGTTTTTTAACAAGACCCAAAAACACAAACAGGAAAAAATCTCTTTTCCATATTAGCGGAATGCAAGAAGAGAGACTGTTCACAAACACAACTGGATATAACAACCAGTATGGATTGATAGCTTGTTTGGCTTGTTGTGAGGGAAGTCACATTGAATCAGACTTGCTGTACAAGCAACAAGCATTGACGTACGCATTATAATCTAAATTCCTAGGCTAACACATTATTCTATTTCCAAGTATATGCATACACAAACATAGACACACACTTTTCATTGATAAAAAACACCCTTTTTTACTTCTCATACCAACTGGGAAAAAGACTTCTAATCTCATTTGGTTTGGTTATCTCTTTGTTTTGTTTTGTAGGAATTACTTGATAAGCAGTTGGTAACAAGTCAGAAGCTTTGGCATTCTTTTCAAGCTTCTCTGTTCAGACATACTATCAGTAATCACATTCCTGGGAGAAAAGTCATCATCCTTAGAGTTTCAAGGGCATTACCTTCTCCATGCAGCAAGGATGGGTCCAGCAGTTCCATCATGTACTCAATTTCAGCATCTAACTCCAGCATGTCACACTGAGCCACAACATAGGTCAGCACTGGCAAAAAGTCATCAGCTCCATACATTCTCCCTAGGGAAAGGGTGAAAAATGTAGAGAGACAGAACACAAACAATATCAGAACTTATTGCCAGAACTTTTTGCTGTTCTCCATTTGTAAAAGCTGTGCTCTCCACTTCTACTTTTATCCAAGGTATAATTTTAAATCCATGAGAAACATTCAGATGCCTATAGTAGTGTCACCAGATATAGTCTGGGGTTTATAGGGACCCAGAGACGATTTGAATGCAGACTTAACAGTGCTTATAGAATAGGAACTCATTCTGATATCATTTAGATGCTCTCAATAGCTGTGTCCCAAGAAAGAGTTCCTTAAGGAATGGAAACAAGATGCAATAAAGAACAAATACACCAAGAACAAGTAGCTCAAAAATTAAAACAAGGGGCTAAGCAAATTATCTCCTGCACACATATTTAAACATCATTTGAATCAAAAACAGCTGGTGTAACAGTCCATGCGAATTTGACAACCTGATATTGTAAGGCTCCTGATTAGCTTCATGGCTTTCTATCAACTGATTTCAGAAGTTGGTTCATTCTTCATGTTATTGGAGATGTATGAAAGTATCACTGTTCTACTTAAAATGGGATTAGTTCCACATAATAAGTACTGAAGATTTTTTGACTGGTAGAATAGGAATAATATGTCTGGAAACATTTGATTAAAGACCACATATAAAAGAATCCCATCCATCCATGTCAATAAATTGTTTTCCTCAAATAATTGAGCTCCACAACATAATTCTTGCAATATCAGGACATGAAGATTATTGTTTACACTGAGCAAAGTGGGTCAGTTTGGAACTCATCTGCTAAGGCGGGGATGTTATATCCCATACAGAGATATCAGAGAACCTAAACTCTTATTAATCATCCAGTATAAAAATAGTGACTTTTGCATTAAGCATTTTAAAACAGCTCTCAATATACAGTAACACAACAGCAGCAATTACAATGTTGTTTACTGAATGAATGGCTTCTTCTGCAGTGAATATGGAGGTGGGAGCATAACTGCAATTTCCAAAGAAACACAGAATATTCCATATTTTTATTTTGTTATTTTGACTCTCAAGAATTTTATTCTAGTGCTTAAAAAACAATATGAGTTGGCACCAATATGAAGAGTCTTTCTCATACAATAGTGATACATCATTTAAATTCAGACCAATAAGCTTCACTATAATTCATTCTATTCACAAAAGGAAATCTGAAGCATGGTCAATGGCAACTAAATTTCTAATTGTTTTTTTCCAACACATTCAACATATCTAGCCCCATTCTTACAGAAATCTGATACAGCCTGAACTGCAGCAAAATTTGGAAAAAATATATCATTTTACCCCATCTGGAACCAAGATTTAGACTGCCTAAGATAAGAGTGTATGAAATCACAATACACCAGAAGTAAAGTAAGAAAATGTGAAACTCTTTTGGCAGATGAAATGGTTCTCATTTTACAGAAACATCTCTGAACAGCTCAGAACTTTTTGACCAAATCTAACATTTACCTGAATTGTTTTCCATCACAGTGTAAATCAGTTTGCACACTCTTAGTAGCAGCATAACTTTCTTTTCAGGAGAGTACATTTTCTGCATGGCTATGAACTTGACTTTAATCTTTTCAACATCTACGAAATCTGGTGTTGGGACGAAAACACCCAGCTCCTGAGGATTTCGCTGTCGGACAAGTTGAAGATTCTCTTTCAACTGCTTCCACGAGCCATCGGCTGTATGGAATTCTTTCAACATCATCTCCACATGGTCCTTGAGGGGTTTCAAGATGCATTTATGCATGGCCTTCTCTAATACCACATCTGAAAAAAGACAAGCAAGCTAAGAACACTACCTGGCAAAGAAACCTGATTTTTGTTCTTCCATAGAAAAACAAATGAATTTATCCAGCCAGGATAATCATTTCATTAAATTTCCAAAACAATTTTAATGGCAAAAACAGTTTTACAGCTGGTTTTTAACAGGAAAAATGGCCATTGTCATCTTTATTCATTTTAATTAGGAAAGACAAAACTAAAATAAAAATCTGTTCATAGTATGACAGAGATTTTCCTGAATCCCAGAACGGCAGAACCTTAACCAATCTGAATATTTTCTTACATCTTGGAGATGGTTCAGAATGTAGCTCTCAAAAGAGAAATCATACCTTCTGTCTTGTGTCTACTTACAGCATTTTCAGTATCAGAGAGAAAACAAAAGTACTTCCATTTGGAAGAAAAATTCTCCTGCATGATTTGGTAATATATAAAGATTTAAATCCTCAACTAAAAATATAACCAATTGGGAAACTCCTGCATCTGTAGCATGACATTAAATCTCTGTAAATACAACAATCCAGACTTAATATATTTAAGTATATTATAATATCTCCTCACCAGCACATCTCCTCACCAGCAATCATCACCCAGATAAGCAGAGATTACCCAGATTACCACCAGACATACAAGCAGTAACCAATGCCTTAATCAAGGAACTACCAGAGGAAAAAAAATAGAACAAAACAAAACCCCCACCCCCACCAACACTGGCATGGCATGCCACAATATATAAACAGAGAGCAAACCCCATTCCATTCTAGCATTGAAGATGTTACCTAGCCGGGTAATGAAATGTTTGCAAGAAAACAAGCAAGCTCAGAGAACCCCAAGGACTCCACAGTTAATATATTTTGTCCATCTTGCCTTGCAAGCTTGTAAGGAATTCTTAATTACTATACCATAACATTCTGAGGTTTCTGTGTGCCTACTTTTGTGCCATCTGCAAATTTGATCAGCGTTTCCTCCATTTTTTCACCCAACTTATTAATAAAAATACTGATGAGTACAGGTCCCAAGAATGAACCTTGTGACACCCCACTCAATACCTCTCTCCAGTTTTAATGAGGAATCATTACTGAGCACGTCTCTTTAAGCCAGGTATGCATCCACTTAATTGTCATGCTGTTCAGGCTGCATTTAACTACCTTACTAATCAGAATGTTATGGAGTATTTTGTCAAATACTTTGTTGAAAGTGAGAGAGATTATATTTGCAGCATTCCCCAGATATACTAAGATTAGTCTAGCAAGCCTTGTCCTTCACTGACTTCTGACACTACTACTGTACATTGTTTTCAAAGTGCTTACAGACTAATCTCTTTATGATTTGCTCTAAAATCTTCCTGGTTTTGGACTGTTTTGTAGTTTCCTAAATCCTCCTTTTTCTCCTTTTTGAAGCTAGGGACATTTGCCCTCATTCAGACTTCTGGACTGAATGAAGACACATTGGGCACAAGATTTAAATTCTCTGGACACGAGATTTACATCCATTCAGAATTAAAGAGATATTCTATGACCATATATCAATCCAATTTATTAATTCTGTCCTTTAATTTTACTTTTCATAACATAATACCCATTCCACCAAAGGAAAACTAGATACCCCATAAAAACCTGGTCCTTATTTTGGGCCCCAGGAAACACATTTGGTCCAATTTTAAAAACACTGAATTTAAATTGTATCCTTAACGGTAATTGTTACATTACATTTCCATTCATAGCATTTGCTTATTTTCTTACTTCCTTCACACACAGAAGATAAACCGGAGTTGCTGAGAGTTAGGCAGCACATACATTAATTATTATTATTTATTATTATTTTCAGAGAAATGGCTAATTATGCACAAAACCACTAGCCTATGCTTTCTGACACATTTTTAAAAAATAACTGTTTCAAAAGCTGAAAGTGGTGGTGAGGCAAAAATAAACATCTCTTATAAACATGAAAATTTGTTATAAATCATTTCCTTAGTAAAATGAATTCATATTTCAGGGGGTGGAGAAGGACGTTGGTGATAATGTAGGAAGCAACTCCACATCAGGGAGTATGATACACAAGCTGCAAATCTGGGGGTTGTGTTAGACTGAAAAAAGCTTGTACTTGGCTTTGTCTTTCGATGTAGAGAAGCCAATCAGCAACGAAGTCACTAACACACACCCACACCAAGCATTAAAGTTGATTATTCCCCAAAAGAAGGAAATGGTGTAAACATCTTTTATTTTGACAGAATATCCATCCTTTCCTCCCACTTTCCGCAGACAAGGTCCCCCACCAGTTGAAATCTCTGAATAAACTTGCAACACTGTTTTCTAGAGACACTATGTATTGTGTATACAGACAGTCAATATTTGTAACCTTGAATATTTTTATACCTCAGCACTAACCAGAAAGGAGCACTTTATCAGTTGCACATAGCTTCACTCCCTCTGAACGATATTTTTCCACAATTCCCTACACTTCATCCCAGTGAAGGTTTATCTTTTCTGCTTCTCCTTTAGCAAGCGACAACCTATGCCTGATCCATTCAGTACAATATGAAGAGCAGAGATGTATATGGCAACAACTATGTTGTTTACCATTTCAGTTTAAATGAGTGGATTGAGCCAAAACAGTTTTTTTGAGTTTTTGGTAATTTTACAAAAGTTACTTGGCAGATGATACATGGAAGGGATTGGGGGAGAAAGGGGGAAAGTGGCAAGGAACTGTAGAGTACTAACATTTCAGGTGTCTGAAGGCAGTTATGTAAAATGGATATGCAAAGTTGTTTTATGAGTTACACTACAATTTTTGTGAGTTTCTTTCTAAAAATAATGGGATGTATAAATATCAAATTCTCTTCCTGTTCTTATGACATACTTGATTAATCCTCATGGATTGCTCAAGGATTTGTCTCAAACTCAATGACAGAGGCATGGCACTATCAAACTAAAATAAACACACACACACACACACACACACACACACACACACGGAAAACTCCCCCAGAAAACTCAGTTTGGAGCTCATCTTGAAAAGAAAAAAGTCCATGAGGGGACTAGCTAAACAGACATTGATAAGGAGAAGACAAGAGTTAAAACTCCTAGTGTCCTGAAGAAAATTTTCTAAAACTACTCCAATGAAAACTCAGTTGCAAATTTAGCTTGAAAAATGCAGTAATGGAAATAAGGTAAAAAAAAAAATCAGAAAAAAGGCATACATTTTTGGAAAAATTAGTAAGTTGACAATAAAATAAGCAAAACATTTAAGGAGCATCATGCTAAAAACACATTAAGTTATTTTCTGAGCACTTTAAAAGCAGGATGTCAACTAAAGAGATGGCTGGATCATTAAATGACTAAGTCCTCAGAACTGAGAACTACTTTAAATAACTCTATCGTCCTCTTTCACTTGCCAGGCGCATGATCACATCTGAATCAGCTTTTTACAGAGAGGATTTCTGAAGAACCAAATCAAAAAGGAGCGACAAGAGATGAAGCTTTAGGGATATCTGACAAATCAGCCATTTGGACTAAATGATACATATCTGAACACTCTTTAAGAATAAAGAAAAGATGCCCAACTTCCAACTAGTAGCAGCTCTCATAGCATTCAACAGCAATATTGCCAATGACTAGCAAAAACTAAGATCTTGCAGTTATTCTTTTCTTTTACTTTATTAATCAGATTTTAGGAAAAAGTATCAAAACCACTTTCCCCCTGAACTTCAATTTGCTCTACTCTATGAAATCTCATGTGTCTCTCAGTGATGATTTCTGGCTTAAAAGATTATCCAAATCTGGATTTGAATTCACAAAGTTGTTTACAGATATAGTCTGATCTTGCAAAGTACAATGTTGCAGCTTCTAGAGATTATTTTTAGGATTGTAGCAACAAACCCATTTTTAATCAGCATACAATTCTTTTGAGCTTTAACACATGGACAATTCTTAATTAACTCAAGTGACTTTAAGCCTGACTTTAGGCCAGTGCTTCTCAACCTTAGCAACTTTAAGATATGTGGACTTCAACTCCCAGAATTCCCTAGCCAGTGGGAATTCTGGGAGTTGAAGTCCACATATCTTGAAATTGCTAAGGTTGAGAAACACTGAAACACTTCTTTAGGCATACAATTAGCTACTTCAAAGTGGAAAGAGGAAGTGTTTAAATGGTATGAGTAGTTTTCCTTTGACTTCTGGAATGTCCATCTGCTTCCTGTAGAAAAACACTCTTTTGCAATCTTTTGAGGCACAACACTTTAATGAAAACAAATATTTGAGTGACCTTCTGTCCTGAAAGGACCTCTTGTTTCACTTTATTTATTTACCAAAACTTACTCTTACAATTCATAATATATCATAATGGTTTAATAAATTAAAAATAAAACACCAATGGTGATGTTCTGCTCTCACTCCTGATATGTGGTAACTGAGATGTTTTTGATAGAGTGAACACTCTGTGGAGCTTTGTGGCTCACAGAACCCAATTCAAAAGTGCCCCAGCCAATTTAAACACAATGAATTGGTTAGGTAATTTAACAGGTAACTGCTTAAGTACTTTAAGTGATAACAGGAAAGCAATCATAGAGTTGGAAGGTACCTTAGAGAACTTTTAATCCAGTTCTCCGCTTAGTGCAGGATCCAGTGGGACATCTCTGACAGACGACCATCCAGACTCTATTTGAAAACTTCTAGTAAAGGGGAACTCACAATTTTATATGGCAGCCTGTTCCACTGATTGACAAACTTGCCAGACAGGAAGTCCCTCCTGACCTATTTCCTAGGTAGTTTTAATGCATCTGTTCTGATCTTGCCCTCTGGGCAAGCTCAATAGAGAATAAGCCCACCTGGGCCTAGTTTTTATCTTGGAGCAAATATGATGTGATCTGAGGGTGTCCTTTTCCAGAGTCAGCATTCTTGGATTACTATGGAGCTTACTGGTGCCTCTTCTCTCTCCAAGAGGGAGGTATCTATTTAAATCAGTCTGCCTGAAGCACTCAATGGATCTAT